GAATGCAATGATGCAATCATTGCTCACTGTAGTCTCAATCTCCTGGGCTCAAGCAATGCTTCCACCTTTGCCTCCTAAACTGGGACCACAGCAAACACCACCACACCCAACTAATTTTTAAAATTTTTTGTAGAGAAAAGGTCTTGTCATATTGCCCAGGCTGATCACAAACTCCTGAACCTCCCCAAAAGATCCTCTCCTACCACATATGACCCTAATACAATATTTTATCTAAGTTTATTAATAGGTAATAGACAAATGTTGTGCCATGAGCCTGGGGCATGGTGGCTCACATCTGTAATCCCAACACTTTGGGAGGCCAAGGCAGGTGGATCACTTGAGCCCAGAAGTTCAAGAACAACCTGGCCAACATGGTGAAACTTCCTCTATTAAAAATATAAAAATTAGGCCAGGCACAGTGGCTCACGCCTGTAATCCCAGCACTTTGGGAGGCTGAGGCAGGCAGATCACAAGGTCAGGAGTTCAAAACCTGTCTCTACTACAAATACAAAAAAATTAGCAGGGCATGGTGGCGGGCACTTATAATCCCAGCTACTCAGGAGGCTGAGGCAGGAGAATTGCGTGAACCTGGGAAGTAAAGGTTGCAGTGAGCTGAGATCGTGCCAATGCACTCCAGCCCAGGCCACAGAGCAAGACTCCATCTCCAAAAAAAGTAAACAAAAAGAATAACAAAAGAAATTAGCTGGGTGTGACAGCATGTGCCTGTAGTTCCAGCTACTCAAGAGGCATAAGAATTGCTTGAACCGGGGAGGCAGAGATTGCAGTAAACTGAGATCATGCCGCTGCACTCCAGCCTGGGTGACAGAGCGAGACCTTGTCTCAAAAAAAAAAAAAAATTGTGCACATCCTCATAAAAGGTAAGACATCTACAACAAATTGTGCACATCCTCATAAAAGACATTTACAGTACAAAAAAATTGTGCACATCCTCATAAAAGATAAGACATCTAGTATAACAGACTAACACATGCCTACAAATAAAATCAGGACAGAACAGGTCTTTTCTATTCCTTCTCAATAACAGAAAGCTGAAAAAGATCTGAGAACCTTAACCACAAGGAATCGCCTCCATTTTTATGACAGTTAGTTATAAAGGAAAAAATTGGTGCTTTGCATGAATACTTCCTATAACCACAAAGATCTATCTCCTGCAATGTATCTTTGTAAAAAATACTGCTGCCCTTTGTATGTGAAATTTTAAATATTTTCCATAAAAGAATGTCATTTAGTCAAATTATAAGAATATAAATCTCAAGAGCTATTGACTCCTGCCAAGTATTATCATTTTAATCCCTTGTGAATCCAACAGAAGAATACAATGTAGGTTTGTTTGTACCATATCAACCAGAACTGGGGTAATCAATGGAGTGTGAAATGATCACCTGAAACCTTGTTAAAATACTAGGAGAGATGAACATGCAGCAAGATAATCTGCACTCAGATTTTTCCATCCTGGGAACAAAGCCTATTACCACAAAATTCTGAGTCACAATGCAATACAGATTTTTTAAATTATTCCAATTTTTAAAGATGTTCAGGGAAAGAAAACTTATAATTTCTCAACCACTGTCCAAATATTCTTGTTTTGTTTTTGAGATGGATTTGCCACTCTGTTGCCAGGCTGGGGTGCAGTGGCAGGATCTCAGCTCACTGCAACCTCCTCCTCAAGCAATTATCCTACAGGGTTTCACCATATTAGTCAGGAAGGTCTCAAACTCTTGACCTCATGATCCACCCACCTTGGCCTCCCAAAGTGCTGAGATTACAGGCATAAGCCACAATGCCCAGCCCAAATATTCTTCAGAAATCTCAATTCCTCATTATTCAAAATAGATTTCTTCTTGGTATGGTTTCACTAGAAAAACGAAAAATCAGGCTAAGCATGGTGGCTTATGCCTGTAATCCCACACTTTGGGAGCCAAGGCAGGAAGATTGCATGAGCCCAGGAGTTCAAGATCAGCCTGGGAAATATAGTAAGACCTTATCTCTAAAAAAATAAACAAAGTTAGCTGGGTGTGGTGGTGTGCACTTCGGATCCCAGCTAAGGAGGCTGAGGCGGGAAGATCGCTTGTGGGGAGGGGCCGGGGGTCAAGGCTGCCGTGAGCCATGATCACGCCACTACACTCCAGCCTAAGTGACAGAGCAAGGCTCTACCTCAAAAAAAAAAAAAAAAAGAAGTCAGATGCAATGGCTCATGCCTGTAATCCCAGTACTTTGGGAGGCCAAGGTGGACAGATCACCTGAAGTCAGGAGTTTGAGACCAGCCTGTCCAACAAGGTGAAACCACCCCTACTAAAACTACAAAAATTAGCTGGGCATGGTGGTGCACACCTGTAATCCCACCTACTTGGGAGGCTAAGAAAGGAGAATCAGTGGAACCCAGGAGACAGAGGTTGCGGTGAGCCAAGATCACCCCCCTGCACTCCAGCCTGAGCAACAGGGCAAGACTCTGTCTCAAAAAAGAAAAAAATTAAGATATTTTAATTATCTCATCATCGCTTCAAATAAATTCAGTCACCGGGCACGGTGGCTCAAGCCTGTAATCCCAGCACTTTGGGAGGCCAAGACGGGTGGATCACGAGGTCAAGAGATCGAGACCGTCCCGGTCAACATGGTGAAACCCCGTCTCTACTAAAAATACAAAAAATTAGCTGGGCATGGTGGTGCCTGTAATCCCAGCTACTTGGGAGGCTGAGGCAGGAGAATTGCCTGAACCCAGGAGGCGGAGGTTGCGGTGAGCCGAGATTGTGCCATTGCACTCCAGCCTGGGTAACAAGAGTGAAACTCCGTCTCAAAAAAAAAAAAAAAAAACAGACATAAATTCAGTCTATGGTTTTTAATATCTGTTTGTTTGGACACAGAATCTTGCTCTGTCATCCAAGCTGGGGTGCAGTGGTGCAATCATGGCTCACCGCAGCCTCAAGGCTCAAGGCCCATCACAACATTCCAAGTAGCTGAGGCTACAGGTACACATCACCACAGCTGGCTTTAAGAGATGGGAGCTGGGCCAGGTGGCCCACACCTATAATCCCAGCACTTTGGGAGGCTGAGGTGGATGGATCACAAGGTCAGGAGATCAAGACCATGCTAGCAAACATGGTGAAACTGATGTCTCTACTAAAATACAAAAAAAAAATTAGCCTGGTGTGGGGTGCACACCTGTAGTCCCAGCTATTTGGGAGGCTGAAGCAGAGGAATCGCTTCAATGTGAGAGGCAGAGGTGGCAGTGAGCCAAGATTGCATCACTGAACTCCAGCCCGGCGACAGAGTGAGACAACATCTCAAAAAAAAAAAAAAGTTGAGATGCCCAGGCTGGTCTCAGACTCCTACCTGAAACAATCCTCCTGCCTTGGCCTCCTAAAGTGCTGGAATTACAGGCATCAGTCACCATGCCCAACCAGTCTATGCTTCATATTTAGGTCTTGTTTTCTCCAATGTTTACTATATGAGCTCAAATAGAATTTGCTAATACAGGTTAGGTATTCCAGAGTGATTCAAATATTGGATTGTGGCTGGGTGTGGTGGCTCACACCTATACTCCCAGCACTTTGGAAGGCTGAGGTGGGTGGATCACAAGGTCAAGAGATGGAGACTATCCTGGCCAACATGGTGAAACCCAATCTCTACTAAAAACACAAAAAAATTAGTTGGGCATGGTGGTGCGTGCCTGTAATCCCAGCTACTTGGGAGGCTGAGGCAGGAGAATCGCTTGAACCCAGGATATGGAGGTTGCAGTGAGTCAAGATCACACCACTGCACTCCAGTCTGGTCAAGAGCAAGACTTCATCTCAAAAAAAAAAAAAAAAAAAAAATCAAATTTTGGATTATTTTAGATGTTGGATTATTTGCATTATACTGGTTGAAGATACTCAATGCAAAAATTTAAATACTGAAATGCTCATTGGAGCATTTTTTCTGGAGATGAAGTCTTGCTCTTTGACCAGACTGGAGTATCACATCAGCACTCAAAATGTTCCAGATTTTGGAGAATTTCTAGATTTTAGATTTTTGGATTAGGGATCTTGAACCTGTATATTTTTAGCATGTTTATTTCAAGACAGAATGAGTATGTGACAGGCTATGTCCTACCAGTTCAGAATATACAATTTGAATAGAAGTCACATGCTGTTTCAACAAATTCCAATGTATCAAAACCCCTGAAAATTTAATGACAACCTCAAAACTACAATGTTTAACATTATGGCCTTTAGCATAGGACACTAAGTATTATAAAAGACTGAGGAGGGCCGGGCACGGTGGCTCACGCCTGTAATCCTAGCACTTTGGGAGGCCAAGGTGGGTGGATCACCTGAGGTCACGAGTTCAAGACCAGCCTGGCCATCATGGTGAAACCCCATCTTTAAAAAAAAAAAAGACTGAGGACATGTGGTACATGCCAAGTGAGTCTAACATAGGGAAGGAGCAGATACTATACATCACGGTCATTTACTTGAAAAGTCACAGCCAGGCACAGTTGCTCATGTCTGTAATCCCAGCACTTTGGGAGGCCGAGGTGTGGGTGAATCACGAGGTCAGGAATTCAAGACCAGCCTGGCAAAGATGGTGAAACCCTGTCTCTACTAAAAATACAAAAAAATTATTTGGGCATGATGGTGGGTGCCTATAATCCAGGCTACTGGGGAGGCTGAGGCAGGAGAATCACTTTACCCGGAGGCGGAGGTTGCAGTGAACCAAGATTTTGTCACTGCACTCCAGCCCCGGCAACAGTGTGAGATTCCATCTCAAAAAAAAAAAAAAAAAAACCAGCTGGGCATGGTGGCAGATGCCTCTAATCCCAGCTATTTGGGAGGTTGAGGCAGGAGAATTGCTTGAACCCTCGAGGTGTAGGTTGCAGTTAGCTGAGGTCTTGTACCACTGCACTCCAGCCTGGATGACAGAGAGAGACTTTGCCTCAAAAGAACAACAATAAAATTACATATATATATGTATATATATTTTATTATTATTTTTTTAGTTGAGTGCTCACTTCAGCAGCACATACACTAAAACAGTAACAAAACAGAAAAGAGTATCATGGCCCCTGCAAAAAGATGACACAATTCGTGAAGTGTTCCCTATTAAAAAAAAAAAAAAGTTTAGTTAAGTACATAAAAAATGAAAACCAAGCACTGCATTTTACTAGCAAAATCCTGGTTCATTTGGAGTTTACTGAACTTTTAGAGCTACAGCCTTTAAAAATAAAGAAGACTCCCTTGAAGTTCAGTAAACTCAAAATAAGGCTATCAGAAAAAAAGAACAGAAGGGCTGGGTGCAGTAGCTCACATGCGTAATCCCCTCTTTTGGGAGGCCAAGGTGGGCAGATTGCTTGAGCTCAGGAGTTCGAGACCAGCCTGTGAAACATGGCAAAACTTGGTCTCTACCAAAAATGTAAAAAAACAGCCAGATGTGGTGGCATGTGCTTGCAGTCCCAGCTATTCAGGAGGCTGAGGCAGAAGGATTGCCTAAGCCCAGGAGGTGGAGAATGCAGTGAGCCAAGATCATGCCAGTGTACCCCAGCCTGGGTGACAGTGAGATTGTCTCAAAGAAGAAAATCAGACTTTAAAAATTCTATGTGGTTAACTGAAATTTTTAAGAAAAGCACACAGATGATCTACTTAAAGCAGGAATATACCCATTAATAGCTATGGTCATGCAAATGGTACTATGTTGGACATGGGCTGCCTTGCTTCTTGAAATCAAGAATTGTAGACCACAAGTAAGAAATTATTTCTGAAATACCATTAGCTAAATTCATTCTTGCATTTGACACCTAAGCTAGTATACTCCTACTCAAAATACATGCTTGAAAGAAAAGTTTCAGCCAGGCGCAGTGGCTCACATCTGTAATCTCAGTGCTTTGGGAGGCCAAGGCGGGTGGATCACTTGAGGTCAAGAGTTTGAGACCAGCATGGCCAACATGATGAAATCCTGTCTCTACTAAACATTACAAAGTAATTAGCTGGAATCTCAGCTACTTGGGAGACTGAGGCAGGTAAACTGCTTGAACCCAGGAGGCAGAGGTTGCAGTGAACTGAGATCACACCACTGCATTCCAGCTTGGGCAACAAGAGCCAAACAATGTCTAAAAAAAAAATTAGCCAGTTGTGGTGGCATATGCCTGTAATCCCAGCTATTTGGGAGGCTGAGGCAAGAAAATCACTTGGGACTCAAAGTGAGGCAAAATCATGCTACTGCACTCCAGCACAGGTGACAGAGTGAGAATCTGTCTCAAAAAAAAAAAAAAAAAAAAAAAAAAAAAAAAAAAAACGGCGATGGCTCACGCCTATAACCCCAACCCTTTGGGAGGCCAAGGTCAGGAAATCAAGAACCTCCTGGCTAACACAGTGAATTTCTGCATCTACTAAAAATACAAAAAATTAGCAGGGCATGATGACACCTGCCTGTAATCCCAGCTACTCAGGAGGCTGAGGCAGGAGAATCACTTGAACCCAGGAGTCAGAGGTTGCAGTGAGCCGAGACCACACCACTTGCACTCCAGCCTGGGTGACAGAGCCAGAGTCCATCTCAAAAAAGAAAAAAAGTTTCATTCTTTTCCCAAAATGATACTAAATCCTCTAGGCCAGGCGCTGTGGCCCACACCTGTAATCCCACAACTTTGGGAGGCCAAGGCGAATGGATAACTTGAGGTCAGGAGTTTGCAATCAGCATGGCCAATGTGGTAAAACCCTGTCTCTACTAAAAACACAAAAATTAGCTGAGTGTGGGGCAGGTGCCTACAATCCCAGTTAGGCAGCTGAGGGAGGAGAACTGCTTCAACCAAGGAAGTGGAGACCGTAATCAGCTGAATTCGAGCCATTGTACTCCAGCCTGGGTAACGAGAGAAACTCTGCCTCAAAAAAAAAAAAAAAAAAAAAAAAAAAAAAAAAGGCAGGGAGCAGTGGCTCACCATCTCTAACCTCAGAACTTTGGGAGGCCAAGGCGGGTGGATCACCTGAGGTTAGACGTTTGACACCAGCCTGGTCAACATGGGAAATCCCTGACTCTACTAAAAACCCAAAATTAGCTGGGCATGATGGCAGGTGCCTGTTGTCATAGCTACTCGGGAGGCTGAGGCAGGAAAATCGCTTGAACCCACGAGTCAGTGATTACAGTGAGCCCAGATCACACCACCACACTCCAGCCTGTGCAACAGAGCAAGACTCTGTCTTGGAAAAAAAAACAACAAAATACAAATCCCCTAATATAAGCTATATGTTCTTTATGTGCACACTGGTATCTCTTACATGTCCACTGTCATTTCACACAAGCCCTGACTCTGGCTCCATCAATTCAAATAACCAATGTTTACTACTTGCATTCTGTATTCCATCTATAAGGTACTTTAAGTATCCTAACTGCTCTGTGAAAATGAAAAAAATTTTAAAAAATAAAAAGGTACCATAAGTAATTAAAAAGATGTGTAAGTCGGAGAAGATAAAATAGAGAATGTGAGTTCCTTACACAACTTTTCGGCTTACACAACTTTTCAGTTTCTTTCTAAAAAGCTTTCCTATGTAAAAATTACTTTTCATGTCAAACATAGTGAGCAGCTGGTACATGGATATGGAGCAGCTGGTACATAGCAGCGCACGAGCGCTCACACACACACACACACACCAGAACAGAAATACATCTTGAATTTAAAATGAAACAACAAAATTGATAATGGAAGACATCCTCATCTCCTTTTTTGATACAATGTCTCACTGAAATACAGGCTAGAGTGCAGTGGTGCCATCATGGCTCACTGTAGCTTCCATCTTCCAGGCTCAAGTGATTCTCACCTCAGTCTCCGAAGTAGCTGGGACCACAGGTGCATACTATGATGCCTAATTTTTTTTTTTTTTTTCGGTAGAAACAGGGTCTTGCCATGTTGCCTAGACTGGTATCAAACTCCTAGGCTCAAGCAATTCTCTTGCCTTGGCCTTCCTAAGGGCTGAGATTACAGGAGCCAGCCAGAGAACATAGGCTATTTCCATTTTTCTATCCCTAGTAATTTATTAATATGTAGAAAACTGGTAATAATCATGGCTAGGGCTGGGTGCTGTGGCTCATCCTTCTAATCCCTGCACTTTGGGAGGCCAATGAGGTGGATCACCTAAGGTCAGAAGTTCAAGACCATCCTTGCCCACATGGGTGAAACCCTGTCTCTATTAAATACCAAAAATTAGCGAGGTGGAGTAGTATGCGCCTGTAATCCCAGCTACCTGGGAGGCTGAGGCAGGGGAATCACTTGAACCTGGGAGGCGGAGATTGCAATGAGCCAAGATCACATCACTGCACTCCAGCCTAGGCAACAGAGCGAGACTCTGTCTCAATTAAAAACAATAATTAGGGCTGGGAGCGGTGGCACACACCTGTAATCCCAGAATTTTGGAAGGCAGAGGCAGGTAGATCATTACATCAAGAGATCAAGACCATCCTGACCAACATGGTGAAACCCTGTCTCTACTAAAAATACAAAAATGAGCTGGGCATGGTGGTATGCACCTGTAGTTCTCCCTACTCGGGAGGCTAAGGCAGGAGAACTGCTTGAACATGGGAGGAGGAGGTTGCAGTGAGCTGAGATCACACCACTGCACTCCAGAGTAGGGATAGAGCAAGATTCTGTCTCAAATAAATATAAATAAATAAATAAAATACTTTCTATTGGCCAGCCTCAGTGGCTCACACCTGTAATCCCAGAACTTTGGGAGGCTGAGGCAGGCAGATCACAAGATCAGGCGTTTAAGACCAGCCTTGCCAACATAGTGAAACCCTGTCTCTACTAAAAATACAAAAGTTAGCCAGACATGGTGGCACATGCCTATAGTCTCAGCTACTCAGGAGGCTGATGCAGGAGAATCGCTTAAACCCGGGGAAATGGAAATGTGGTGAGCTGAGATCGTGCCACTACACTCCAGCCTAGGCAACAGAGCAAGACTCTGTCTCAAAAAGTAATAATAGTAATAATTAGATTAGGGCCAGGCCTGGTGGCTCGCTCATGCCTATAATCCCAATACTTTGGAAGCCTGAGGCAGGCAGATCATTTAAGGTCAGGAGTTCGTAACCAGCTTGGCCAACATGGTGAAATCCCATCTGTACTAAAAATACAAAAATTAGCCAGGCATGGTGATGAATGCCTGTAAACTGAGCTACTCAGGAGGCTAAGCCCACTGCACTCCAGCCTGAGCGACAGAGTGAGACTCTATCCCAAAAAAAGTAGGGGGGGCATGGTGGTTCACACCTGTATTCTCTGTATGTTGAGGGGCTGAGGAAGGCAGATCACCTGATGTCAAGAGTTTGTGATCAGCCTGGCCAACATGGTAAAACCCCATCACCACTAAAAATACAAAATTAGCTGGGCGAGGTAGCATGTGCCAATAATCCCTGCTACTTGGGAGGCTGAGACAGAACTGCTTGAATGCAGGAGGCAGAGGTTGCAACCAAGATTGTGCCATTGCAGTCCAGTCAGGGCGACAAGAGCAAAATTCCATCTCAAAAAATACAAATAAATCATAATAATTAGGCAGGGTGCAGTGGCTCATGCCTGTAATCCCAGCACTTTGGGAGGCTGAGGCAGGTGGATCACTTGAGGTCAGGAGTTTGAGAACAGTCTGGCCAAGAAGGTGAAACCTGTCTCTACTAAAAATTCAAAAAAAATAGCCAGCAATGGTGGAGGGAGCCTGTAACCCAAGCTACTCGGGAGGCTGAGGCAGAAGAATCACTTAAAGCCAGGAGGCAGAGGTTGCAGTGAGCCAAGATTGAGCCACTGCACTCCAGCCTGGCGACAGAGCAAGACTCCATCTCAAAAAAATCATATTCTTTTTGTTTCCTAAACATTTTTCTGAAGTGAAAAAAAAAAAAAAAATCAAGATTCTTAGCCACATTAATATTCTAGCCACTATGCAACACTATGCAAACAAGTATTGAAATGAGCTTCCTGTAGCTAAAAGGCTAGAGTCTCTTTGGATAATGCTCAGCTATTTCCTTTCCCAAGAAAAACTAAAAAAATATGGCTTATATCTATGAAAAGTATATTGTGGACCTCAAATTAATTTTTCCACGTAAATTTCAGGTTCTGAGGCCGGGCACAGTGGCTCA